CTCTCTCTCTCTCTCTCTCTCTCTCTCTCTCTCTCTCTCTCTCTCTCTCTCGCACACTCTAACACATACGCACATACTCTCTAACATACACACATACACACTCACACACACACACACACACACATACACACACACACACACACACACACTCACACACTCTCTCTCACACACACACTCACACACAAACACTCTCTCTCTCTCTCTCTCTCTCTCTCTCACACACACACACACACACACACATACACACACACACACATACATGATACACACACGCACTCACCTGTGAAAAAGACGATGACTTCTGTCGTCAAGTCGTAGCACCCACTAGGATGTTCTGCCCGACAACTACAGCTGGTCTCGTTGAGACAAACCGACAACAAGGGGGGGACAAACTTCCCGTCAGTAACGTCCCGACCCCCACACTGTAGAGAGATGTCTGAGGCAGAGATTTCTGGGAATCCCCCATCGACGTGACACTCCACACTGTGTTCTGTGCCTGCTTCAAGACCAATGATGTTACCTGCACTGGCACCAGTGAAAGTTTTACCTTCGATGATCAGTGTAGGGGCCGTTTTGGGAGGTTCTGGTGAGAGGATAGTATTCATTAAACACTGCACATAGGAAAACAAAGGTCAGGGTTAAGATACATTAGTGTCACAAATAGTGCGCAAACAAAAATCAAAGCGAAAGATATGTGTGATAAGTAATGTTCACGCCTAAAAAAAAAAACAACGTGAAAATTAATGTGTACACAAAAAAACGAAAGTCAAGTTGCATGTGATAGGTAATGTGAACACCAAAAAAACAAAGATCGAGATACGAGTGACACACAAAAAAACAAAGGTCAAGATACGTGTGACACACAAAAAAACACAAAGTTAAGACACATGTGATAGGTAATGTGCGCACCAAAAACACAAAGGCCAAGATAGGTGTGATAGGTAATGCTTCGTTTATGTTGCCAGACTGTGACTCAGTGGTTATAAGGCTCTCCTCCAAAAGGCCAATCGTTTTTCACAGTACAGTAGGGGGGCTCTCGTGGCCTAGAGGTTAAGGTGTTCGCCTCTCTTTCAATGGTCGCGGGTTCGAATCCTAGTAGCGACCGAACAATTTTCTACTCTAAATTTTTTTCCTTTCATCTTCTTTCCTTCTCTCTTGCAATATTCTGTCGTCTGTTTTCGTCTCCACTTTCTTCTCCCACCCCCTCACCTCCTTTGCCCCCTCCTATGGACTCTTGACCTTTTCTGCAGCCTTTCTACTGCTACCCCTTGGCTCCTGCCTGTCTATCAGCCACACCCCTGATCTTCTGGTAGGAAAGCTCTACACCTGGCCTTCTCGGACAAGGGCGAAAAATCTCTGAGGTCCCATGTGCTAGCGGCGCACGCTTAAAGATCCCTTGGTGATCTAAAATCGATAAGAGTAGGCTTCGGCCGCCACCTGGGCGAAATTCAAAATTTCCTTCCAACTGAAAATGTTAGGTGTGTCCCGCGTACTCATATGGCCTTATGCAGTTGCGAGCGCCGTAAAACACTTACCAAAAAGTAAAAAAAACAAAAACAACAACAACAACAGTACAGTCTTTTCATCTGTGTGCGGACATACTCACTGCAGAAATGGCTGGCCACACAAGTGTTGATATAGCCAGCTCCCGAAATGCACGAGAAAGAGCTAAACTAAACCTCACGTAAGGATTATATTAAAATTTTCCTGTTATCCTTCACCATGCAGAAAAAAGAGGGCACGGATGGCAAGTTCAGTAATACCCACATTTAATTAACAGGGCCATTAAATTTAAAGTTTCTGTTAGCCCACTTCACAGAAACAAGAATCTGCTGAGCTAGGAAAAACGATCAACTCATTCAAAATAGGAAAACACTGATTTGTCGAACTAAATACGAATGAAAACTTTTCAAGGATTTTTATAACATGTCAATCTCGAGAACTTTGTTTTTGGATTTCGTTCTGGGTAACAGATTTGCTGTTGCTTCACGTACAACAAGCATAAATTGCTTTGGTGAATTTCTTTTTGAAATTAAGTTTCGTTTTGTAAAAATGAGTGAACTGACATTATTGGGTTAACTTGATCATGGGGGGGGGGGGGGGGGTTGAGGTAACTAAAACCCTCAAATTTCTATTTGTGATTAGTTAAAGCTTCAATATGTGTGAGTTTGAGATCGGTAAAAGTTTTGCTGTTTGCCGTGGAACCGCTTGATAAAAGGAAACAGCACAGAATCTTCTTGCTATGAATATATATATATATATATATATATATATATATATATATATATATATATATATATATATATTTATAAACTGACTGCTAATTACATTCTCGTGTTTTACATCTGTTCCACAAAAACCCTCCTCACCTCGGACATAGACATGTACAGGTGGACTGTCTCTGCTCAAATCTCCAAAAGCTCTGTTCACTGCGTTACACTGGAAGTCATGATTACCTCCCCTTGAAGGCACAAAGATGTAGGAACACTTGTTTTCTGTATTCCTACAAGAATCAATATTTTGTGTTCCTGGTGGCGTCATAGTGAGGGTAAAATCTGCTACTGGGGAGACAATTTTCACAGAACATTCCATTGTTATATCCGGAGTAGCTGACGGACACATGTTATACGTTCCGGACTCCTCTGGTCTCACGTTTTTTCTCTCCAACGTGACGTCTTCAGGGCCATCTGGAAACAAAGATGACAACAGAAAAAAAGGACACAATTAGGGAATAGAGCAATTATGAACATACATGTACTGATGGTACTGAGCAAAAGTGAAGGGCGAAGAGAAACAAATGGATAATGAAAGACGAGAAAAACAAACCAACCCAATTTTTCCATTGCGTTACTTATTGCTTAAAAAATAAAAGAGCACAACGCCTCCAAACTTGCCCATAAACATTAAATTGATGGTAGTAGGCCTACCCATCTCTCTCAGCTTAAGTACTGTTAATACAGTCGAACCTGCTCTACTAACCACCAGCTGTCCAAGACAATTACGTAGACAAACAAACACTTCCCAATTCCCCATAGTCTTTTTTCAATAAGATAAGATAAGATAATACTTTATTATCCCAGAGGGAAATTTTTCTTGGCTGTACAGAAACGTAAAAACACCTGCAGGTATACATATAAATTTAAATTATATAAAACTCTTATAAACAGTCAATATGAAAAGAAAAGTAAAGCTGACAAAATGTATATATCACATCAGATGCATCATTCGACCACATGCAGGAATTTAATTACAAGACCTTTAGAGTTATAGATACATACTCGAAAGAGCAATACACATTGATGCTTATTCTGACAATATTATAATGACACTGTCCAAAAGGATCCTCAGTCTAAGACGACCACTGAGGATACTGAGTTCAGAATAGGGTATTGACTACCCATGCTAACACAGGTAGATATTCAGCTTTTTGTCAGAGAGGTGTAAAGATTCACAGGGCAAACATGGGTTGAGCCATCCAGCCAAGTCCTCAAAAACAGCGCACAGTTCCAACAGATATGTCAACTGAAAGCCAAGGCCATGATCAAGTCTACTGTGTTGCGGAGATCCAAACTGTTGAGGAATATGGAAGACTGACACAAACATCTTCACATCGATAGTGCTCTGTATCAAGTTACGACACAACAGACAGATACAGTGTACAGGTACTGAGTATTTAAAATCCAGAAAAATTGAGAACACCTACATGCAAACTGGACGATCTTGGAGACAGAGGGGCTTGCTTGACCCAGGGAAGACTTGGAACGACACGTCAACCTCTGGCTTTCGTTGTTGTTCCCTGAAATGTCAAGTTATAAAACAGGCTCAGATGTCTGCTAACACATTTGGGAATAATTTCACAATGAGAATGGACCGTTACCGCGATTGCACTGGAACAAAGGGTCAAGTCTGTGCCTTTCTTAATTAAAACAACAAACAAACGAAACAAAAAAACCAACAACGACAACAACAATAACAATATTTAATTAACCTCCCGGGTTCTGTAGAAAGGTTTACCAACCTTGGGACTCAAAAGAGCTGAAGACAAGAGTACAAGGGTGAAAAAATATAAATGTCCATATCTTAATTAATTTTAAGGGGCCCTACACAAGTACGTTCCAACCAGGCGGTTTTAATCGGAGTGGGAACCGGCGTTCGAACCGCAGGACCCACTGGCTTGACAAGTGGCGAGGTGAGTGAAGGGCTAAAGGACTTGAGCCCCACCCACTCCCACCCCCAACTCTTTCCCTCCGCAAATTAATGTTTCTTCTAATAAACGAGATAATCAGTTGAAACCGTTAAAACTGTTTCATAATCTTCCGCCTCCGCCTTTAGTTGTATGCGGTGAACACACATGCTTGCTCGTTTATTCAATCACTGTAGTCACCGCTTACAAGGGTAGTAACCTAAAAGCCAATCAAATGTGTTTAGGGCTCTGCAAAGGATGATCCCATTCCCACGGTCCTTTCTTAATGAAACTCTTCTTGAAAAAAGGTAAAAGAAACAAACGAGAGCCCGCGGAAACTGTTATTAGAGATGGCTCGTTCTCTGCCAGCACAGACAATGGGGGGAAAGTTCATGACTCACTTTCCCCAGAGACCCAGTAACCAAAACACGCTCATGGGCCCACGTTTCAGGAAAGCCTTGCTTTCTGCGACCCCACAGCTTAATCCCGTTACTGTTGTATGTTTGCGTTTGCGTGTTTAATTAATTAATTAATTAATTCGTTAAGCAATTAACTAATTATTTTTCGGTTAGTGTTTTACGGCGCTCGCAACTGCATAAGGTCGTATGAACGCGGTTGCGTGTGAGTGTGTGAATGAAACATACTCACACATATCTGGAATGTCCTCTGAACCAAGGAAATTTTACCTTTGAACTCTACCTACCCTGATTTCTCAGCCCTACCCACATTTTGAACCACCCACCGCCACTGGGCTTGACCAGTCTACAAAACTGCTATCTAGTTCATGAGTTCATCGCAGAACATCGCTGAGTTTCCAAAAGATTTTTTTTCTTTCAAGAACGTATCCAAATTTCATTATGGACGGTCAGGGTCCATTATCTGCAGATATACCACAATGACGCATGCAGCGTATCCCATGGACAGCTAGAAAAACAAATGAACAAAGTATTGGTTGAAGCAACTTGCAGACGACCGTTTATGACGAATAATAATATACGAAAGCGACAGGTAAAAATTATTGGGCACACAATGCGGAAAGAAGCATAGGAGAATATTGTAACAACAGGCAAGTTTGATGGAAAGAGAGGCAGAGGCAACCAGAGGGAAAAGATACTGGACAAATAAACAACATGTCTGGGAACAGCAAGAACGACGGACACCATCGCTGCAACGCAAGACAGAGTGAAGTGGAGGTCCATGATCGCCCACACCAGTCGGCAACGCACCAGATGATGATGATGATACCACAATATTGAAATGTCCATAGAAAAAACCAATCTCAGTCTGATAATTACATTAAGCTCAATCCTTTTTATCGCTTCATACTGCAATGTGGTCTTCATTTTGAGGATGTTGCTGCTGTCTACAAAATCCTGTCATGTTGAGCATTTCAGCGTGGAATACTTCCTGGACCTCATGATATTCTGGTAACAACTGGCTTCGGGTCATACACAGTATCAGGGGTTCTCTTGATCTAGAGGTTACGGCTTTGCCTCCCATTCAATAGGACCCGAGTTCGAAACCTGACAGAGACGGAAACTTTTCTTCTCTAAAGTTTTTTCCTTCGACCCCCTCTCCAAAACCAAGTTTTGTTGTATGCTTTCCTTTCCACTTCCTGCCCCCCCCCCCCCTTGTCCCCTCCTTTGGGGTCCTGGCTCTTTCTGCATTCTTTCTACTCCTACTCCTTCGCTCCTTCTTACTGCTGTTTTTCAGCCTCACCCCTGATCTTAGGGTAGGTAAGATCTAACACCTAGCCTTCTCGGATAAAGGGGAAAAATGTCGGAGGGCCTGTGTTCAAATTACGCACGTTAAAGATCCTGTGGTGGTCCTAAAATCGATAAGAGTAGGCTTCCGCCGCCACCAGCGCAAAATTCAAAATACATTCTTTCTAAACTGAACATGTGTAATGTGTCCCGCGTGCTCATAAGACCTTATGCAGTTGCGAACGCCGTAAAACACTTACCAAAACAAACAAAAACGTACGTTACAATTAGATCTATTAATATGGAACAGGTAAACAAGCCCACCAGCCCAACATCTGACATGCAGCATTGTTCTATGTCTCCCAGCCGCACCGAGGCCACAAAAATGAAAACAATTAATGGCTGTCCTAAACAATCACTGGGAAGTACTCAAATCTACTTCGTCTTTAACTCCACTTTCTAACTCACCC